AAAAAAAAATGGTGGGCGAAAAGCGGAAGCCTCGGGCTTCCCAGTGGAAGTGGCTCTACACCAATGCTCCCTCTAAGCTGTGGAGTCTCGTGAGCAAAAAATTCTACTTTGTGAGCTACGGGCATTAAAGTTGTGAGTGAGCAATTTGGCTCCTGCATCAATTAGTTGGCTCTGGAGCCATCCTTCCTGAGCTAAGACAAAAATCTGTGAGCTGGAGGCTAAAAAACTGTGAGCTAGCTCACACTAACTCAGCTCAGAGGGAACACTGCTCTACACTGGCGGAGAGCGATCCTACGGGGGAAATGTGGCTGGAACCAGAGCACCGGTTTAAAGAGTGTTTGGGACGGTTGGCGGCGGCTCGGGACAGGAGGCAGATGTTGCCTGTGTGATCACGTGCAAGTACTCCGTTTCCAACCGGCATGTCTACCGGCTCAAATGGCCCGTCTGAACGCACCCACAGTGTAGTTAGCTTCTTGACATGAATCTCTGACTGGTTGTGCTGTTTTGCCGGGTGGGGATAACGTGTTCTTCTCCTTGCGCCCAGGGTACAACCTGGAGCTTTCTTCGGCCCTGGAAACGTATCAGATCCCAGATGGCAAAGACGACGAGATGACTCTGTCCAGGCAGTTCGACCAGCCGGACAAGAACCGGAAGTGGCGGGAGGGGGTGCTCAAGTCCAGCTTTAATTACCTGCTGCTGGATCCCAGGTAAGAAACACTCCTTCCAGGCCTGCGGCTTGCGGACTGTCCCTAGCTTTTTGAAGAGGAGCTGGAAATGGGATCCCCATTGTGGTGGTGGAGAGGGATGGCTTGAAGACCGATCCCCCCCATTCCCATCTCAGTTGCTTCCTCCGTGAGAACCGTAACTCTCTTCGGAAGTCCTCCTGAGCCAGGGGAACAGCATGTAGGTCTGAATCCACTCATCCCTTTTCTTCTTATCATGATCTAGAAGCGCTGTGTACCTCAGGATCATGGCAGTTCAAAACCTTCATTGGCAGGAAACTTTGGGAATTATTCAGCCTGTGATGCTGTCGTGATCCTAGGCCTTTAGTAGTGCGGCCTACAGGCTCTAGGGAGGCCTAGTGGCTCCAGGGAAGCCTGTACTAGAGTTGCTATCAGGGCCTACATTTCCCCAGGTCTCCTTTAGGACCCTGTGATTGGCTAACGGGGTTTGGAGGGGAAACTTATACCAGTAGAGGGTGGTGCCTGGGAGGAAGGAATAAAAGGCCTTGCCCCAAAGTGGGAGGGGGTTCACTCCTAGGGAGCAGAGCTGGTGTGAGGCTGCTGCAGATGGAGGGATCCCTCATCCAAAGGGGGTGAGTCAGCTTGAGGCCAAATTTGTTTATTTATTATTTGCATTTAGATCCCGCCCATCCTGCGGGTGGGCTCAGGGCAGGTAACGTCATTGAAATCAATACAATTTCAGTTTAAAACACTAAACATTAAAGGTAAAGGTTCCCTTGCTCGAAAGCCAGTCGAATCCGACTCTAGGGTTGCGGTGCTCATCTCCGTTTCAAAGCCGAAGAGCCAGCGCTGTCCGAAGACGTTTCCGGGGTCATGTGGCCGGCATGACTAAACACCAAGGCGCACGGAACGCTGTTACCTTCCCACCGAAGTGGTACCTATTTATCTACTGGCAATTTCTTGCTTTCGAACTGCTAGGTTGGCAGGAGCTGGAGCTAGAGACAGGAGCTCACCCTGTCTTGCGGCACCCGGGTCTTGAACTGTCTCGAACTGCTGAACTACTGACCTACCACAGCCTGCAGTTCAGCGTCTTAACCACTTGAGCCACCGAAGCTCCTAAACATTAAAACACAACAAAACGTTATAAGAATTAAAACAATGGGTACAGCTTGGAAGAGCATAAGTTGGCTATAAAATTCCGGCCCGATGGTACAATGGGTTAAAGGCCAGTTGTCGGTAGTCAGTAAACAGGTGACAGGCAGGTGACAGCAACCTCAGGGGGGCGGTAGATGGGCGCCCGCTGCCTCAACCAAAGGCCTGGCGGAAGAGCTCCATCTTGCAGGCCCTGCGGAATTGAAGCCGATCCCGCAGGGCCTTGGTCTCAATAGGGAGCCTGTTCCACCAGGCTGGGGCCAGGACAGAGAAAGACCTAGAGAAGGCTTGGTACAGCGTAGTCAGACTCATTGGGGTTTCTTATTTTGCTGGTCTACCTGCCTTTACTGTGCTCACTTTTCCTACACGTTCTTGAATCACAGTTGTTGTTAAATCTCTTTAATAAACATAGTTCGTTACTCTACCTGGGTTCTCATGCCTCATTCGGTCACTTATAAAGAGGAACCTGCTGGAAAAGAAGCGTATAAAGGGGTATGGGGGTGGGTGCTTCATGAGGAGACCCATACCAGAGTGGTGGCAGCAAGTAGAGAGCTTTCCTAGCCACTGCCCGAGACTGATGCAAAAGCTCTTCTGCTGACCGTAGCAGCTGAAGCAGTTCTGGTCTTGCCCTTCTTTGGGAATCTGTAGAAGCCGTAATGTTCCCTACGGGTTACTTTGTGCCTCATGAGGAGACCCATACCAGAGTGGTGGCAGCAAGTAGAGAGCTTTCCTAGCCACTGCCCGAGACTGATGCAAAAGCTCTTCTGCTGACCGTAGCAGCTGAAGCAGTTCTGGTCTTGCCCTTCTTTGGGAATCTGTAGAAGCCGTAATGTTCCCTACGGGTTACTTTGTGCCTCATGAGGAGACCCATACCAGAGTGGTGGCAGCAAGTAGAGAGCTTTCCTAGCCACTGCCCGAGACTGATGCAAAAGCTCTTCTGCTGACCGTAGCAGCTGAAGCAGTTCTGGTCTTGCCCTTCTTTGGGAATCTGTAGAAGCCGTAATGTTCCCTACGGGTTACTTTGTGCCTCATCCAAACGAGAGTGGTGGCAGAAAGTAGAGACCTTTCCTAGCCACTGCCCGAGACTGATGCAAAAGCTCTTCTGACCATAGCAATTGAAGCAGTTCTGGTCTTGACCTTCTTTGGGAATCTGTAGAAGCCTTAATGTTTCCCTACGGGTTACGTTCCTGTTCTAAAGAGGGACTATGGAGTCATCCTTATAGACTGCCGCTTGTGGAGGGTGACGAATGATTTTGTTGGGCGGTGGTCTGGTAAGAAAAAATATATACAGATGTGTGCTAGATGCCCACAGAATAATACAATAACAAAAGTCAAATGGCAGCAGGCTTGGAAATAAGTGAGGAGACCTTGCCCAAGTAGAGTAACAGAAAAGTAAATCAATGAATGTGTCAACTTGAAGGTAACATTGAATGTGAGATTCCTGTATAGGATCTGTTCCTGAGGAAAGGCCAGAGGTCTGAAACACTTAAATATCCGGAATAAGTGTTGAAAGAGAGATTGAATTTGGAGCAGACTGCTTTTGAGAATACAAAATGGTTAGAGGGATATTGACTGAGAGAGTTTGGAGCATACCGCCATGTGTAATTTTATTGGCCTTTGTATTTTTTCTATGAAGGTATAAGTTTGTTTTTCATTACTTGACACTAAATGATGTTATGGCTTTTTTGTCATTGTATTATTCTGTGGGCATCTAGCACACATCTGTATATATTTTTTCTTACCAGACTGTCTTGAGAGTGTGTGTTATTCTTGTGGTTTGCTGGGCGACCAATATGCCCCACGGGGAGAAACTGTGACCTAGTGGTCGTAGGCTCCAGGGTCAATCCTGAGTGGTTCAGACAACAAAAAGTCCTTTCTTAGCAGCACCCACTACTAGAGTGCCTCTCAGCCTAGGGACCTCATGCATGGACAGTATGAGCTCTACCACTGAGTTTGGACCCCCTCGCCACATTATGTGGCAGGGGATGGGTGGAGAGGGAAAGGCGTGGATTTGTGACCCCATAAAACATATTTTTGTTTGTTTGTCTTTTGACAATTGTGTGGGTCTGTTTGGGGGAATATTGGGTGTTGGGAAGGTGTTTCTCCCCTAGGTCCAGTCGGTGACCTCTATGGACATGACTGGTCTATCTGAGCAGGCCGCTCTGAAGCAGACAGAGTGACCATAAAGACAGCTTTACAGCCAGGTGCTTCAGCTGTCCAGGAAACACCCGGCCAACTTTTTAGTCAAATGTTCGGATTTTACAATCCTGTTTGAGAGTCTTAGGGCCTACAAATGGGGAGATGGTGAGCAAAACCAGGAATCGGGTTTTTTAGGCTCATTAATCAGAGTAGTAGTAAGGAAAGGTTCAATTGCTGCTAAGCACTTAACGAATCTTCCGTGCTGCCATGTTGCAGTCCCTAACAACGATCCTGTAAGGTAGGCCAGGATTATTATTCCTCAAGTTGCCGATGGTGGGGCTGAGGGACTAAGGCAGAGGGGCTTGCTCAAAGCCACCTGGTAAATTCTGGGCAGAACTGAGATTCGAATGGATGACCTTCTGAATTGCATCACTGCCTGTGTACAGTCCCCTGATCAAAACGCTGAAAATAAATTTTGAACCGTTTTAGTGAATGACGGCATACAACTCAGTGGGTTCAACCTTCTGTGCTATGGGGAGGACTCCTTGTGCAGGACTGAAGCACCACTGCTAGTGCGGCAGATATACAGGATCTGTCTCTTGTTGGGTGGTGCCTCTCTCGAGTGTCTTGCCGGGCAAACATAAGAGAAGCTTGCTGCAGAGAAATGGCTTGTCTCCTGGGAGGTTGGCAATGATCAGCGCTCCACTGTGCATTTTAACAATTTCCCCCCCTCTACGCTAAGAACAAGCAGGAGGGGGAAGGAAATTAACCCATGGCCTTCCTGAGGCATCTCTTAAGAAATGCTAATAGATCTACTTGAGGCATCTCTTTAAGAAATGCTAATGGATCTAGCAGGAGAGAAAATGGGATGGGCCAGTTCACCACCACCACCCCTTTTTCCAAGCAGGGAATATAGATTTGGAGGACTGAGAATACCAAAGAGAGACCATCAGGAAGGGAATTTCTAGAATCTACCGGAAGAGCTCTGACCTGTTCAGTGGGAGCAGACAGGGATTTGTTAAAACCTCCTTGCAAGGGGAAGGCGCTGTCTTTCTCTGGGACGCTCAGGCGACAAGAAGACACAGGACTCTTAACTCCTGAGGCAGCCATGTTGACCATGTGCTCGCCTGGGAGACTGGGAACAAGCTTCAAAGTAATGGTAACTCTGTAGGGAACTAGAACAGCTAAGCTAAAGAGCCTTAGCCTAGATTTTACCATCAGCTAGGGCATGTATAGAGAAGGGACAGAGGATGTGCATTTACACCAATTTCTTTTTGTCTTCCTTGTGCAAATTCGGGGCCGTGCTCAAAGTATACTTGAGCTTCTGATGTTGGGAGCAGTTCTCTGTACCACACAGATCGCGGTACCTGTTCCTGCAAAAGACACTGTGGAAACGGGATTTTTCCCGGTGCCCCGTTAACAGGATCGCTTTGGCTCCATCAGCATTGGACTTTCTTGCTTCACTGGGAAGGCCCGCTTCGGATAGGAATTGTGTTAGGACTTTGTCTTAAAAAATTGGACTGGCACCAGAGACGTTTAGTGTAACATTCTTCACTCATAATGTTTGTTAAGGGTTCACATACTATTTTTATGAATTTTTCATTATTATATTCACGGGTTTCTGGTCTCTTGTTAATTTTCTCTCCATACCATGAATCTCCTCTTTTTTGCTTTGATACTTCTCGTTAAGGCTGGTTTGTGGTCCTCTTGCAGCTTCGCAGCCTTGTATGGAGAGAGAACTGGAGCAGGCGCTCAGTCGGGAGCACATGGCGGGGGGGGGGAGTATGTGCATGCACATCAAGAATTCTCCAAGCCCAACCGTTGCTGCTCGATGCAGTGAAACCCTTGGCTTGGTGGAACGTTCCTGTGTGTCACGGGGTGCAGCTCATCCACAGGAGGCTGTGTCCCAGTTAATCTTGCCCGCGGAGGTATCTCTGTCTTTTGCTCTTCCCAGGGTCACTCAGAACCTGCCCTTCCGCTCGCAGTACGTGAGCCAGGCGGAATGCTTCCGGACCTTCATCAGCGCCATCTTCTACGTGGGGAAGGGGAAGCGGTCCAGGCCTTATTCTCACCTCTACGAAGCCTTGACACACTACAAGGAGAGCCGGAGGAAGCGGGGGGCCAAGGTCTGGACTCATTCATTCGTCCATCCCTCTAAAAAAATTTATGTGGAAAGGAGACAGTGAGGGCAGCCAGTTCCCCCCGGCTGGAACAAAGTTCAGCCTTGAAACTGTTAGCGCAGCTCCAGGTGGACTGGTCTCTGGGTCGGCAGCCCCCACTCACATTCCATGGGTTTTGGCTTTCTTTTTGGGTCACCCAGGAATAGTTATACTTAACACTGGAAGGTACAAAGAGCCCAGGTCCATCTACTGCAGCAATCGCTTTTCCACAGAAGCCAGAAGGTGTGTAAATAGGGCATAAGGTAAAGTAAAGGTTCCCTTGCTCGAAAGCCAGTCAAGTCCGACTCTGGGGTTGCGGTGCTCATCTCCGTTTCCAAGCCGAAGAGCCAGCGCTGTCCGAAGACGTTTCTGTGGTCACGTGGCCGGCATGACTAAACACCAGGGCGCACGGAACGCTGTTACCTTCCCACCGAAGTGTTACCTATTTATCTACTTGCAATTTCTTGCTTTCGAACTGCTCGGTTGGCAGGAGCTGGAACTAGAGACAGGAGCTCACTCCGTCTTGCGGAGGGCATGGGGGGGGGCTAAAACCTCCCCCAGGGTGTTTCTCCACAGCGGCTGCTCTTCAGAGGGAGCGCTGGTTCCGACTACGGCTAATAGTCACCGGAAGACTGACTTAATCCCCTTTTAAAGGCCCAAGCTAAATGTGTCGGGCAGGGTGGTGTGAGGTGGAGGAATCCATGTGTGTTTATGCAGACGTCCACCCATCTCTGTCTGAAGTGGATCAGGGGGGGTTGTTTTTGCTGAAACCTGGGCACAGGCGGTGCTAAGCCTTTAGCCCTCTCTTGCCGGGTTTCGCTGGACCCCCTTTGCGTTCAGCGCTTGCCTCCCAGCTCTAAGGCAGCCTGTTATTTTTAT